CCCCCCCCCCCCCCCCCGGCCCCCTTCAAAAAAGACCTATTCTCAATACTGCGGCCCCTTTCGACTCCTTTCATCGATTGCAAATTCTCTGGGTACGGCAAGGGGCTTGCTGATGATCCAACCCTAAACCCTAAACCAAAACCCCAAACCCAAAGGCCTGTAATAAACACGAGTGTGAAGCTGCGTCCTATGATCGTGAAGATGATGCCATCTTCAGGGTTTGGGGTGTAGGGAGGACGCAAAGAGAGGACGAGCAGTTTCTCCTACAGCTGCACATAACAATAACCCCTGAACCCAAAACCCTAAACCCACAAATAGCAAGAAAGAGATCGTTTTCACTTGGCCGAGCTGGAAGCTGAGGAAGAGCAGCAAGGCATGTCGGTAGCCATGAAGGAAGGAGTGTGAATGAACGGATGCATGCATGGACCTGGAAGGAAGGATGGTGGGGCGGATGGATGGACGGATGCGCGAAGGGATGCAAGGAAGCAAGGAAGGAAGGATGGATGAATTGACGAAGGGATGAATTGATGAATGGACGGATGAAGGGGCAAATGGAGACATGGATGAACGCATACCCTAAACCCTAAACCCTAAAACTCAGAAAGGAACTGAACCAATGCTCCTTCGTCGCCTTGAGGTTTCGGAGCCAGGACGAGGTCGGGCGCAAGTGACGCAGGGAAGAACAGGTTGCACAGGCTCTACGAAGTTGTTTTATTCAGGGGCCATTGGAAGAGTTACCAAAGGGCTGCCGAAGATAGGAGTGTATTGTGTTTTTGTTTCTTTTTCTTGCAGCGGTTTCGTCAACTTACCTTTCTCTTCCGTTCTCTTCCCTCAAATCTTCCATTCGTAGCCTTTGCGGATCCCAGAATAAGAGTTGTTCCGAGTAGTGCCATTTCTGTTGTCGTGGCTGGGGGTCCGAGGCTCCGTGCTAGATCGGCTTCTTGGAGGTTCATTGATTCATATCGTGGGCAGCAGTCCGTCAGGTGAGAAGCCCTTTTCAAGGCGTATCCCTTTTGTGTGATCTTGCTTATGACCCAGGTATAACTAGCCATGAACCTCCAAGTGGAGCTCTGCCTTCTTCAGGCCCTGCACAAAACCCTGTCACACCCCTCTATCGCAAAGTCCCAAATACAAACAAGCTTCAGGAGAGAGGAGTTTCCGGCATTCTAGGGTATGGTGTGAAGGGTTTAGGGTTGTGGGGTTGTTGGGCTTCGGGCTTGCGGTTTGGTTTTCGCCGGTCCTTCCTCAGGAGCCGTGTGGGGATCGACGGGTCGAAGGTTTGGTTTAGGGCGCCGATAGATATGTGAACCTTTCTGCGCTCAGTGGCCTCATGGCTGAAGCTTATGTGAGAAGGGGCATCGGGGGCCATAAGATGGCCCCTCCTTGACAGTAGCGCAGGTGGGAATTTCCGAAAACTAAGGTACCTTACTTTGGGGTTCTTTTTCATAAGGATCCTACTATTTAGGGTACTATATTAGGGTCCCCTATTTTCGGAAACCCCCCATGTGGCTAGTTCACACAATTGAAACAGCCAGGCGGCCTGCAGCACTTGCACGAGCTCTTCAAGAGCCCCTTGCTGATGGATTCGAAGCAGACTGCGCTGAGGGAGGCTGTCGGTAAGGGTTTCAGGATTTCCCTGCAACAACCAAGAAGGTCCAAGCCCTAAACCCTCAACCCTTGACCCTAAGCCCTTAACCCCAAAAGACCCTAAACTTTACTGAGAGCTTCGGAGCCAAGTGGACATGAAATGGAGGCAGTTGACGTCTCCGGATGATCCCACGAGTCGGTTTCGGACTTGAATGTTGGAGTATGTTTCTTCGGTTGCAGCGTGAGAAGAGGTCCTCCGAATGGAATGTTTCAAGATCTGCTTGGCCTTATAAGCAGCAAAAACCATAGTACCGCCATGCAGCTTCGTCGAACGCCAGTAGCATTGTCCTGACGCCCAGGCAGGATGGGTCCAGTATCACCTTGTGCTACATTGATGACAATGACGAAAAATTGGCTATTTCGATAGCACCCCTGATCTAGCCTGGAAGTTGAGAAGGTTCTAAAACCCTAAACCCTAAACCCTAAAAGCCTTAACCCTAAACCCTAAACCTAAAACCCTAAACCCTAACCCCCTGCAAAAGGACGCACAGTCAGGGCCTTAGTTCCCTACTCATAGGCTCCTAAGTAGTTCCTTTTTATGGATCATATTTAGAATCCTATAAGGTAATCTCAAAAAGGAACTACTAAGGAGCCTATGGGTAGAGCCCTGGAGCCACTGAGACCTCTACCTTCCCGCAGGGCTGCGGCGAGCTTGCCAACGAGGAGAATAGTGTCTAGGGTTTAGGGTGGTTTAGGGTTTAGGGTTCGGGGTTTCGGGTTTCGGGTTTCGGTTTTAGGGTTTAGGGTTTAGGGTTTTTGTAGGGTTTCGGGTTTAGGGTTTAGGATTTGGGATGTAGGGTTTAGGGCTTATATAGGATTTAGGGTTTAGGGCTTATACAGGATTTAGGGTTTAGGGTTTCGAATCTTTGTCTTCAAAATGAACTCCTCAGCCCCTCGCTGACTCTCAACCTCATTCCCAGTCCCGAAACCAAAAAACAGAACCGCCGATTCCAGACTCGAGCTCAGAGCACATGTTTTTTTCCCTAAACCCTAAACCCTAAACTCTAAACCCTAAACCCTAAACCCTCAACCCTCAACCCAACACCCTAAACCCTACCCTGTTTTTTTGTCAAGCAGACCCGGACTCTGGCTTTCGACCGCAACCGCAGGACAACTACGAGTTTGAGTACCTCGCCGCTTGCCCCTTGGGAAGGAAGTCAGGGCTTAGGATAACCCTAAACCCGAAACCCCAAACCCTAAACCCGAAACCCTTGGGAAGGAAGTCAGGGCGTAGGATTTAGCAGGCCTTCGAATTCCTGCAAAGCCTTCGACCCCGGAAAGGATTTTTTCCTCATGTAGGGAGTGCCACACAATCTGAACCTCTAAGCCTAAACCCTGAACCCTTCAATCTCAAACCCTGCACCCTAGAACCTGAACATACCCGGAGCCCCTAAACCCCAAGCTCTCAACCCTACACCCTAAATCCTACACCCCCGAACCCCAAGCCCTCAACCCTAAACCCTAATTCCTAAACCCTAAACGGCCCTAAGCCCCTGAACCCTAAAGCTCTCAACCCTAAATCCTCAACCCTACGAATCTGCCTTTAGCCCAGAGCCTGGCAGCTTGCAGAGCTCCACCGCAGTTCTTTCGTCGTCTTGATTTGTTTTGTTTTGTTTTTGAGACGGGAGAGAAGCTTCTCTAGGGGGTTAAGGCTGTTAAGGTTTTAGGGTTTAGGGTTTAGGGCTGTTTTAGTGTTCGTGGAGTTTGATGCGGGTTCCTTAAGGTGGTGAAATCAGGCGAGCTACTATAGACCTGAGGCCCTGAACAGCGCATCTCGCAACTCTCAGCGCAGTTGCCCGGGCAGCTGAGGTGCACTGCTGCCCTTGCAGAACAAGAAGGATGCCCTGGTACACTTCACTGTTCGGGGTTTGGGTTGGTATTGGGGATTGTTTCCCGTTCAAACTGCAGCGCTTGCTGTCTCTTTTTGCTGGTGGGGGTGGGTCGGTGGGGCGCGGGTAACGAACCGGTACCGTGTCATGGACTGTTGATTTGTGGTGTCCGTACTCAGACATGACAGTGTCAGACGACAAGCCCCGGACAGGACAGAGTATTTTCAGATTTCGGGGCATTGTCCCCCTAAACCCAAAAAACCTAAACCCTAAACCCTAAACCCTAAACCCCTAAACCCTAAACCCTTTCCCCTTTCCCCTTAAACCCGAAGAGGTTCTCATGGGTTTCGGGTCCCTGGCTCGGGGGCCTCTATGAGCACGGTCAGTTTCAATCCACGGGGCTTCGCATGAGGAGCCCGCATCTTCGGAGACCCCAACTCCTAAGCCTAAACCCCAAGTTTAGGGTGTAGGGTTTTGGGGTCTGGGTTTAGGGTTTAGGGCTTATAGGGTGTAGGGTTTAGGGTTTGGGGTTTAGGGTGCCCTAAACCCTAAACCTCAAACCCTATAGCCCCCAAACTCCGAACCTCAAGACCCTAAACTCTACAGAACAGATGGGCGCCTTTGCAGCTGAAGGAGTCTGTCAGAGTGCCTCCCCAGAGTTGAGACCCTTGGGTTCCCTTCGGGTGGTTCAGAAAGGACCCCACACCCGACATTGTATGTAGGTATGCATGGATGTATGTGTGTATGTATGCATGCATGCATGCATGCATGCATGTATGTATGTATGTATGTATGTCGTATGTATGTATGTATGTACATGTATTCAATGATTGCACCAGAATTCTGGCACGAAATCCCGCTTTCTCAAGGGCTACGCCGTACCTCTGCCTGCTCCCTTGACGGCGGGCGATGCCATGATGTACTTCTTCTTCACGGCGGACTGCCGTGGGATGTTTGGGGGTTAACCCTAAACCCTAAACCGTTTAGTGTGTGTGTGTCGTTGGACGGGTTGGGCAAATTTGTTAAGATGCTGTCTTGGCAGGACTTGCGGTCTACAGGGTGCCCCTAAACCCTAAACAGCCCGAATATAGGGGCGAAAAAAAGTACGAACACTGTTTTGGGGCTTCCTGAAACATGTAGTATCATGGGCCCCAAAACCCTATCCTAATTATTAAGGCCCCTATGTTGGACCAGATCCGAGAGGAGACAGAAGACACAGAGGTCATCCTCGGATTGTCCCCGAAGTGCAAGCCAGGGCAGCACCTCCTGTCCTATCGGCGCTTCACCCAGATGACCCAATTTAATTTGTATCTTAGTTCTGCAATACCCAACCTTTAAACTTTTTGGGTTCTTATAATTTAATAGCAATCTGAAAGTCTCACCTATTTCCCCGGCTTATTGGGGAAGTAAGGTATGCGGAAACGACGGTGCGGAGTGCTTGTGGGCAAGTGCCACATGTCCATCTAATTCCCAACAGCCGCTTCACGACGCCGGGACTTTGCACTGACCATGCAACCCTCTTCATGGAGCATGTTGTGGCAGTGGTGACGTCTTTGACTTTTGAATCTACGAATTCGCGTCCCGGTGCTTTGATGGAGAGCACGTGCCAGCTGGCATATGCACATTCACCTCATCCTTACCGACTTCCGGGATACGGTGCAGGCAATGCCACGTTCATCGAGGCGCAGAATTCTCCTGCTCGGGTCGTTGCGCACGGAAACCACCTGTTTCGCACCGCGCTGCTGTCATCTGGCGAGATCCGGGTGAGGGTCTTCAAGCGGACAGGAGAGTTGGCGTACTCTACGATGCTTCCCAAGAGCAAGTGCAGGAACATGAACGGTTGTGAGTCACTGCAGTTCCCGCGGATTTTCGTCAAGCAGAACCACTTGCCCCCTGGCAAAGATCATTTGGATTCAAGACATCTTTCTGCTGGCATCTCTACTCAGACCCTTTCGGCCTGTAGTGATAGTTCCTCTTTCTGAGCCGACTCTGCACCTTCTATAGCAGCTATAGCAGGATCCCAGAAAGTTGGAAACCCAATAGCTGCAATCCTTAAGAGTTATATACTAGGGAATCCCAGCACTAGTTGTCCTTAATCCGGTCTCCAACGTTTTGGGGGTTACTATATAGCAGGATCTTCTTTAGGCCCCCCCCAAGAGGGGATTCGCCACAACGGCTGGTCCAGGTTCGTCCTCGCAAACGGTGCTGTGAAGTGGCCCGGTTTCTTGATGAGACCCTGTGTCCATCGGCTCAGGGTTGAGGGTTTAGGGGCTTTGGGTTTACGCTGGGGTTTAGGGTTTGGGGGCGGCCAATCTTTGGAAGAAAATGGATGTCGGTTTTTCAGACCTTCACTTGGTGCACAGGGCTGGTGGGTTCATAGACGTCACGTGAATATTGGGGCTTTGCGCGTTGTGTCTGTCCGAGTATGCCATCATCTCGATTTCCAAACACTCTATCTACCCGTATATAGGCGTAGTACCCTCGTCACTCGTGTTAAACTCTGTAGCAGTCTAGGAGAAATACCGGGTTCAGGGTTTAGGGTTCAAGGTCTTCGTGTTCAAGGTTTAGGGTTTGGGGTTCAGGGCTTAAGGTCTAAGGTTCAAGTCTAAAGAGTTTCCGTGACCTAAAATAGGGGCCTATATAACTACCAATACTATTGTGGGTTCCTTATTTTAACTATACTACAATATCTCCCAAACGCTATTCTAATTATGAAGGCCCCCCCCCATATTGTGTAATTTCCGACAGCGGCTCATATTCACGTCGGGTGTTTGCTTGCCGCACGCTTCTAGCTTTCACCCTACAGGGACACAGGAAACTTCGCCTGGCGAAATACGGTGCCACAATTTGTTGGTAATTATTCCTGTGGTTGTGTCGTTTGTGCAGTGCAATTTTCTTGTTAGAAGGATTGTGGGCTAGAAATCGTGGGCCCCGAGATTTCCGTGTTGAAATAGAGTATAATATACAGCCAGAAAATATTCTGTTTATGAAGGCCCCTAAGCTATTTGTAGCCTTCGTGGCTCTCGATCAAGTCAAGAGCTTCAAACACCCCAGCTTTTGGCTTTTCGGGTTCAGTCTTTCGAATATTATATACAGAACTTAAAATACAAAACATATTAAGTTTCTTTAACATCTAGGGTCTAAAGCCTAGACTTAAACCTTCAGGTTGAGGGCCTTCGACTGCTGCTCGTAGCTGCGAGACAGTGGCGAAGCACCCAAGTCGAGACTTTCAGATTGCCGTGTTATCATCCAGCGGCTTAGGGTTTAGGGTTCAGGGTTCAGGGTTTAGGGTTTAGGGGGCCTTAAACGATTCATCCGAAGCCAAAGCACTCTGCTCTGAATCGCACCGGTTTTGCTGCAAGCTCGCCCCTCTGAAAGCCTGATTCCTGAATCCCGAGCCCTCAACCCTATACCCAAGCCTGACCCCCAAACCCTAACTCACCACCAAACCCTAAACCCTAAACCCTAAACCCTATACACCCGGCCCTAAGACAAAAACCCTAAACCCTAAACCCTATACACCCGGCCCTAAGAAAAAACCCTAAACCCTAAACCCTAAGACATAGGACAAAAAGCCCTAAACCCCTGAACCCCGTGAAAGCTTCAGCCACAGGAAGGCTCCCCTGCGCTTCGTGCGTCAAGGCCCTTGCAGCGTCGGCGTTCTTAGGGGACGTCGGCTTCGCGTCTTCTTTAGGGATTCAGGGCCTTAGGGTTTAGGGTTCGAGGATCACACGGTCGCAGGGTTTAGGGCCTAAAAAGTTTAGGGTTGATCCTCAAGGATTGAGGGCTTTAGGGTTTAGGGTTTAGGGTTCTAGGTTTTTTAGGGTTGAGGGGTTTAGGAGTCTAGGGTGCAGGGCTTGGGCTCAACCAGGCATTCAAGGTTTACTGCAGACTTAATCCTGGCAGCGAGATCCATGGTGTGAAGCTTCGTCATCTCACGGTTTAAGGTTTGGGCTTAGGGTTTAGGGTTCTCTCCTAGGAGATTCTGGCGTTTGGTTTGTAGGGGAGTGTCGGTGGTGCAACGTGCGCGCCCCTAAACCCTAAACCCTAAAACCCTAAACCCTGAACCCTAAATTAGGCCCTAAACCCTAAACCCTGAAGCCCCAAACCCTAAACCCTAAGCCCTTCCAGCTCAGCTCCCAAGGGTGAAATCCCAAAGCCGGACATCGGAAACCTCCAAGCCCCCTGAACCCTAAACCC